GTTTCGAGCCTTATACAGTTTATTGTGATGCGTCTCATATTGGGCTTGGTGCAGTGTTGATGCAGGATGGCAAGGTCATTGCCTATGTTTTGCGGCAGTTGAAGATTCACGAGAAGAACTATCCGATTCATGATTTGGAGTTGGCAGCCATTGTTCACGCATTGAAAATTTGGAGGCACTATCTGTATGGCGTGGCATGTGAGGTGTTCACGGATCACAAGAGCCTTCAGTATTTGTTCTAGTAAAAAGAGTTGAATTTGAGGCAGAGGAGGTGGTTGGAGTTGTTGAAAGATTATGATGTCACTATCTTATATCATCCGGGAAAGGCCAATGTGGTGGCAGATGCTTGGAGTAGGAAGTCAGCCGGTATGGCAGTCTTGCTTATATTTCGGTCGGTGAGAGAGAGCTTGCTTTGGATGTTCAGGCCAATCAGTTGTGAGATTGGATGTTTGCCCAGCCGTGTGTTAGCTTGCACAGTCGCTCGTTCATCATTGTTGGAGCGTATCCGAGATCAGCAGCATGATGATCCTCATTTGTGTGTCCTTAGAGACGCGGTCCAGCACGGAGGTGCCAAGCAGATTACCTTAGATGATGATGGAGTTTTGAGATTGCAGGGTCGAGTATGTGTGCCTAATGTGGATGGGCTCCGAGAGTTGATTTTGGAGGGGGCCCATAGCTCCCGGTACTCTATTCATCCGAGAGCCGCTAAGATGTATCAGGATTTGCGACAACATCATTGGTGGCGTAGAATGAAGAAGGATATCGAAGCATATGTGGCTCGTTGTTTGAATTGTCAGCAGGTTAAGTACGAGCATCAGAGGCCTGGTGGTTTATTTCAGAGGATTGAGCTTCCCGAGTGGAAGTGGGAGCGGATCACTATGGATTTCGTTGTTGGACTCCCACAGACTCGCAGAAAGTTCGACGCAGTATGGGTAATTGTTGATAGGCTGACCAAGTCAGCACATTTCATTCCTGTGGTAGTCTCCAATTCTTCTGAGAGGTTAGTTGAGATCTATATTCGGGACATTGTTTGCCTTAATGGTGTGCCCGTATCTATCATTTCGGATTGGGGTACGCAGTATACCTCGCGCTTTTGGAGAGCAGTTCAGCGAGAGTTGGACACGCGGGTTGAGTTGAGCACATCATTTCATCCCCAGACGGACGGTCAGTCCGAGCGGACTATTCAGATCTTGGAGGATATGCTCCGAGCTTGTGTCATTGACTTTGGAGGTTCGTGGGATCAGTTCTTGCCTTTAGCAGAGTTTTCCTACAACAACAGCTACCAGTCGAGCATTCAGATGGCCCCTTATGAGGCTTTATATGGTAGGCGGTGTCGGTCTCCGGTTGGGTGGTTTGAGCCGGGAGAGGCTCGGTTGTTGGGTACGGATCTGGTTCAGGATACCTTGGACAAGGTCAGGATTATTCAGGATAGGCTTCGTGCAGCTCAGTCCAGGCAAAAGAGTTATGCCGACCGCAAGGTTCGATATTTGGCTTTCATGGTCGGTGAGCTGGTATTGCTTCGAGTGTCGCCTATGAAGGGCGTGATGAGATTTGGGAAGAAGGGCAAGCTCAGCCCTAGGTTCATTGGTCCGTTTGAGATTCTTGATCGAGTGGGAGAGGCGGCTTATAGACTTGCATTGCCGCCAAGCTTAGTACCCGTGCATCCAGTGTTTCATGTGTCCATGCTTCGGAAATATCACGGCGATCCATCCCACGTGTTAGATTTCAGCACTGTCCAATTAGACAAGGACTTGTCATATGAGAAGGAGCCGCTGGCTATTCTAGACCAGCTTCATCAGTTGAGGTCGAAGAGTTTTCCTTCTGTTCGTGTTCAGTGGAGAGGTCACCCTCCTGAGGCATCGACCTGGGAGTCCGAGTCTGATATGCGGAGCCGTTATCCCCATCTTTTTCCCGACTCAGGTACTTCCTTCTTATGTTCGTTCGAGGACGAACGGTCATTTTAGAGGTGGAGAATGTGATGACCCAAAAGGTCATCACTTATTTTAAATTAAATTCTATGACTCCGAGGACTTGAAAACCTCATTTAGAGTCACCTCGATTTGCGTGCGCAGTCCGGGTGCATAGCCGGAAAGCTTAAATGAGAAACTGTGTGAAAAATGATAAGTTTTGACTATAAAATGAATTAATTTGACCTTGGTCAACGTCTTGGGTTAACGGACCCGGACCCGTGATTTGACGGTCCCGGAAGGTCCGTAAGAAAATATGGGACTTGGGCGTATGCCGTAATCGAATTCCGAGGTCCCAAGCTCGAGAAATGAATTTTTGAAAGAATTTGTTTTCTGAAATTGTTTAAGGAAATTGGAAATGAAATTTGATTAGAACATGTTAGTATCGGGCCCGTATTTTGGTTCCGGCGCCCGGTACAGGTCTTATATATGATTTAAGATGTTTCTGTGAAATTTGGTGAAAAACGGATATCGTTTGACGTGATTCGGACCTAAATTGGAAAATTTGATGTTTTATGAAGTTTGAAAGAATTCATGGATTTTGAGGTTTAATTCGATGTTTATGTTGTTACTTTTGGCGATTTGATCGCACGAATAAGTCCATAGGATGTTTTGAGGTTGTGTGTATATTTGGTTTGGAGCCTCGAGGGCTCGGGTGAGTTTTGGATAGGCAACGGGGTGCATTTTTGAACTTAAAATTTGCTGGTATGAACATACCTGCAGGCGAGCCCGCAATTGCGAAGGCTGCCTCGCAAATGCGAACAGCCCAGGTCTGCCCTTTTCCTCGCAAATGCGAGATTTATGTTCGCAAATGCGAAACCTCCCATATTGGTCAGACCTCGCAAATGCGATCACTGTGTCGCAAATGCGACTATCGCAAATGCGATACTGTTGTCGCAAATGCGATACTGTTGTCGCAAATGCGAAGGCCCTAAAGTTTGAAGCGTTCGCAAATGCGAAACAAGCTTCGCAATTCCCATATCTGCAGAGGTCGGGGTTCGCAATTGCGAACCCCTATTCGCATTTCCCATAACTGAGACCTGCATTTTTCTATACTTACCGATTTTAAGTCATTTTTCACATCTTTTTCAAAACATAACTCCTTTAGGCGATTTTTCAAGAACAAGTCTTCTTCCAAATCAATTGTAAGTTAGTTTTTACTCATTTCTTTCAATCATTAACATCTTTTAACATGATTTCAACCTAAAATCAAAGATTTTCATGGGGAAAATTGGGTGTTTTGGGTAGAACCTAGGTTTTTCAAAATTGGGGATTTGGACCTCAATTTGAGGTTCGATTTCAAGACAAATTATATAATTGAGTTTGTGGGGGAATGAGTAATCGGGTTTTGGTTCGAACCTCGGGTTTTGACCACGTGGGCCCGGGGGCGATTTTTGACTTTTGGGTAAAACTTTGGAAAACTCATTTTCATGCATTGGGGTTGATTTATTTAGCACTTCTTGATGTAATTAAGTAATTTGTGATTAGATACGAGCGAATTGGCGGTGGAATCAAGGGGTAAAGCTATAATTGAGACTTGAGTTGTGTTCGAGGCATCGAGGTAAGTGTTTGGTCTAACCTTAGCTTGAGGGATTAGGAGTTGCATCCTATTTGCTATTTGTTTCTTGTTGAGTACGATGTATAGGCATGGTGACGAGTATCTATACGTCGGTGTCGAGCATGACCGTGAGTCTTATATTGTGTTTTCCATGATTTCGTTGTATTGTTCATGCCTTGGTGAGAATTTCTATTTGTTGTGTAAAGTTGTGAAAAGAATTGTGACCTATGAACGTTGAGGAGCGTTGGCTCCAGTTGTATAACGAGTTGTGAAAGTATAAGTGATAATTGAACCTCTAGAGCAGTGGCTCGAGTGATGAAGGGAATCGTGAAGTAAAAGTGAGAAAGAGAAGAGATCATTATGTTGCCCCCTTGCCGGGCTATTGTTGAGTTGTGGTTCCCTTGTATTGTGTTCTTAATTGATATTACGAATACTTAGGTTGGTGATTCTTTGTGTTAGGTAAGGATTATGGTTATAGCTGAGGTAGTTAGATGTCGGGACAAGTTTGGGTATAGCTGAGGTAGTTAGGTATTGTAACAAGTGTGGGTATAGCTGAGGTAGTTAGGTGTTGTAACAAGTTTGGGTATGGCTGAGGTAGATAGGTGTTGTAACAAGTTTGGTTATAGCTGTTTCTTTTTCCCTTGCCGGGATAGTGTAGACCTTTTGATCCCTTGTCGGGACTCTTGTTATAATTGTAAATATTATATATGGATCGGGTTGTACGCCGCAACAATATTATATATGGATCGGGTTGCACACCGCAACAATATTATATATGAATCGGGTTGCACGCCGCAACAATATTATATATGGATCGGGTTGCACGCCGCAACAATATTATATATGGATCGGGTTGCACGCCGCAACAATGTTATATATGGATCGGGTTGCATGCCGCAACAATATGAAATGGGAGCGGGTGGTACGCCTACCACGAGATATAATGAAATGGGAGCGGGTGGTTTTCCTACCACGAGATATAATGAAATGGGAGCGGGTGGTACGCCTACCACGAGGTATAATGAAATGGGAGCGGGTGGCACACCTGCCACGAGATACATGAAATGGAATCGGGTTGCACGCCTGCAACAAGATGTGAAAAGAAAGTGAAATCTGCCTTTGTCACTTCTAGAAAATGGTCCTATTGGAACAGTTATTTAGTAACGGTTATGCAACTGTTACAATAAATAATATTTTGGAACAGTTTTAACCGTTCCAATAGAGTCAAAACGCTTTTGGAACGCTTCTACAGAATAACCGTTCCAATAGTATTACAACCGTCACCATAAGTTTAGCTATGGAGACAGTTTATGAAAGCGACACAATAGAGTACTTTGTGGGAACGGTTTTATGAAATAAAAGTACAGTGGAACGGTTTATTTTCCCCCCCTTAATTTCCCTCCTGTACATATTTACCCCGCCATTATTTTAATAACTTTTTTTAAGTTATATTTTAGTTAAAAGAACATAGAAAACCCAAAAACCCTCAAAATTAAACAGACGCTATTTTCTCCTCTGAAACCCACCAAATCTCTCTCAATATTCAACCTTGAAAAATCCGACGACCTGCTCCGGCGAATGACGACCTGCTCCGGCGAATGACGACCTGCTCCAGCTAATATAAGGCAATCTCCGACGTAGGCTGTTGGTGTTTTCCCCTGTTCGGTGTTTGTATGGTTGTTAGCTGAGCATTGAAATTTTTCGCAGCTTCTTCGATCTGCTTTCTTCTTTGGTAATATTCTTTGTGAACCCATTATTCTACATACTTTCTGTAATTTGGTTTGCTGAAAAATTGTTGTTTTGCTCAAATATTGTTTAAGATTTTTAGTTTGTAAAATTGGGGATTTTGTTGTTGGGTTTTTATTTCGTGTTAGAAATCCATGCTCGATGTTTGCTATCGACGTTCGATGCTCAATGTCTTCTTTGGTATTCTGTATAACTGTAGGATTTTCTATTCAAACAAGAATCCCAAAGAAGAATTATAGTTCTATGAGTTTGTTTCTTCCGATTTCTAAACAGAAAATACATAAAAAAATCATTAGTTTCTTAACCCGATTTTCAACTATGGATTGCATCTGAGGTGTAGCCGAGGGTCGATTTGCTTCAGTTGTTGGTTTGATTCGCTGAACTTGGGGCCGATTGCCCAGTTCCGGTTCTCTGTTTGGGTTTGGGTTGCTATTTTCCTCTTCAATTTGTACATTGCTCGAGCTGGTTGAATCAATTTTTGGACAGAAAATTCTCAAAGAAATTGAATCTGTATTGGTCGATCGGTTCTCTGCTTTGGGGTTCTAATTTCACAAGTGTAGCTTAAATTGAGGTTCTGTTGCTGTGCTTATTTTTCAATCGAGTTCAATCTCATTAAGTTGTGATCCTCGGAGATTCAAATACGCTTGAAAATGATTCAGGTCCCTTTTTCCTCCTTTTCTCTGTTGTTTGCGATGTTGCTCTCGTGGTTCTGATTGAAATATGATAAGAGCTGGGGGTTTAAATGATTTTTCAGCTAAGATATTGTTTGAATTAGAAGAAAACATTTGTTGCGAGTTGGTTTGTCTGATTTTAATGGTCGAATAAATTTGAAAGCAGCACTTCATTGAAGATTCGTTAGTAATTGAATCGAATATAGGCTTCTTAGAGTATTCTAAACTATTTGAGTTCAAATCTGTTGGTTACATATTTGTGACTAAAATTGGTTTATCATGTGAATTTTGAATTAGCAATACACTTCAATTGTAGGTCGAATCGGTGCTTTATATGTCTGGTTGAAAGGAACGTATTCGAATCCGTCTTTTCCGATCTGCGTTACTGCTGTAATTTTTCTTCTTTCTCTGCGTTACTGCTGCAATTTTTCTTCTTTATCTGCATTACTGCTTTTATAATTTATAGTTCAAGCATAGTTTGTTTCATTCCAAGCTTTTATAATATTGAAACAACTTTTGTTTTAAATTTTCACTTTTTGCGTATGACCTTTGGTGCACAGATTTTTGTATGGACATAAATCTAAATGTGCTGCGAGCATACTATGTCTGATATAGAAACATTTTTTGTGTGCACATCCGGTGCTTATTGTGCTTATTGGACTGGTGTTGAATGTTGTGTCACTCATTCTCATGTGAAAAGTAAATAGAGCTGGTGATGGTCACTGGTAAAATTGGGGTGAGGACAGAAATAATATGTGACCATCATGAATCATGAATCAGAATCTGGCATTCACGTTTAACCATTACATGAGCAGATCTCTATAGTTAATACTACCTCTTCAGTTCTATTTCTGTTTTCCCGTTAGTACAGCAATGTTGCTGCTATTGCTGCAATAATGAGATTTTACAGTGTTTCAATGTGGATTCCCTGTTATCCTGTAGTTAGTACTGGTTATCATTCGATTAAAAAGCTTGGTTTCAGTTGGCGCTTATGCTGATTTTTCTTAAGTACAGGCACAAGACGAGGGTCCATATTGGTCAATTAGTGAAAGATACATCTGCAAAACTTAAGCAAGCCAGTGAAACAGATCATCGTATTGAAGTCAGTGTAAGTGTTAAGAGCTCACGTACTTCCTCTTGCCTTATGTGTTTGATAACTAATATGCCATTACTTGGAAACCATCTCATATATGCATCTTTTCCAACTCAGCAAGATTCAAGTCAAAAGTTTCAATTCGTTTAAGAAAGGAAACCCCTGTCAAATTTCATTCTTATTTAAACACACTAGAAGCTACGATTCTCTTCCTCATGGAAGTTGTGCATGTGATTATCCCTCTTCATTATCTATATTGCGTATCTTCTTATTTCTCCCTCTTATTTATGCCTTTAATTTCTCTGTTTTTGGTCATAATCTGTTTATTTTGGTTTCAAAGTGTCTTTGATCACTGCTGTCCTCTTATGTCTTCTCTATTGAGTTTCTTATGCATCCTTTTTTGTTTCAAGGTAAAGTGAGAGTTAAGTACCCCAAGTGGAAGAAATTAAGTTATGAAGAGCTTGTATTCATATTCAATGGCTGTAAATCCTAAATGATTAGTTTTTGATGGGTTTGAAATATGATAGATGACTGGAGCACACCTAAAATCGAAGAAGTTGAGTTCATAAAAACTTGAATTTTGAACTTCATATTTGCGAATCATATGAGACTGATTCTCTAAATTATGGCTTAATTAAGATTCTAGACTTGGGGTTGAACCACTACCCTTTTGCTACCATGTTGGCTACTGCTACTACTTGAAATACTAGCACTGCTACTGCAATACAAGTCACCGCTTCCTTCCTTTCTGGTGGATTGATTCTTTGGCCTTCTTGGAATGCATCTTGCTTTCACTTCATCTATATCTTTCTCCCTCAGTTCCAACTTTGAGCTCCTGTAAACCAAAACATAAAGAAAAAAAATGAAATTATGCATTTGAACAAAAAAGAAAATGATTTGAGATAAACAACCCCACATGAATATAATAGTAGGAAGAATAGTTCTGAGTGGTGCTACATAAGTTCCTTATATATTTTTCTTCTGCAAACTGTGCTGCTGCATTTCTGAAAGATTACAAAAGTTATTAATGTCGATATGTACCATTTTGTAAGACAGTGCAATTACTTTTAGTTCTAACTTTGGAGGGCAAACATGATTGAGAAATTGTACCAATACCCCTATACTAAGTATACTAAGTTACAAGAGGAAATATCAGTAGATAAGCCAATGCAGAAATTGTACTTTTCAATCATGAAAACAGGACAAATTTTCACAGGTTTGAAGTTACCCGTTTTTTTAAAATTTGGCCTCCTGCTCCCACTTAAGCATTATATTTGCGTCAAAGCAACACAAAGCTTGTATCGAGACGGTAAAAATCTTATAGAATGAAGTATTAAGAGAGGAACCTTCAGTTATCCTATACGTTGGCAACTTAAATTCTAAACTCTTGATTTTGGTAGGTGAATTACATGCAAGCATGGGTCTGTATGAGTTAATCCTTGCATTTCAATTTGCGATTATTGAATCAAAATTAATATTTTCCCTTTTGTTTCATATATGTTGGGTGTGTTTCTGTATGACCTTTTTCTGAGCTTACTGTAATTCCATATTGGTATTCTCTCTCTAACCAGATCTCTAGATTAATGTTTACATAAATTGGAACATGTAGCGATGTTGGGCCCGTGCCAATGGCACAGGCTTCCCTATCTAGTAATACCTAATAAAGCTATTTTTATTTGTATTCTTCATCAGATTTGATAGATATGAGTCAAGAAAGACCTTCAAAGCCCAAAAAAAAGATAAGCGCAACATACACAAAACCTGGAACAATGGCATCTTTGGCAAACCAAATAAGGACTTCGTTTAGCCAAAAATATGTTGTTCCCGCTAGACAATCAAACAAGTAATAGAGGAACAAGTTCAGTTGGATTCTACAACTCTTGTTGAAGATGAACAATGTGAAGAACAAGGTAAGAACCTATAGACTTTATCTAAAAATATTTACATCCTATTTCAGTCATAAAAAATGTACCAACAATAGTGATTTGGTGGTTTTGTTTGGTTTGAATAGTTGAAGGCCCTTCTAATCAAACAAGAAAAAGAGGAAAAACAAAGATGAAAAGTGTACATGGACGACATGAGCGTAAATACATTTTACTTAACAACTTAAATCAACCCGTCGGTCCTAGTGACGCAGTTGTGACAGAGTTTGGAAGCTTCCTCGGCACATTGGCAAGGAATGCGACTCTATGTCCTCTTGATATTTTGGATTGGAGGAAGATGGACACAAAAGAGGATATATGGGAATATACCAAGGTCTGAACTTCTTAAGTTTTAATTTTTGATTGAAAATCTTTCATATTTTCTGCACTAACAGATTTGACACCAATTGTAGGATAAATATGATATTCCTGAAGATGTTCCAGTTTCTCAATTTAAGGAACTCCTTAGGTATTGGAACTCTGAGAAACTCCAGGTATGTGACTTTTTACTTGTTCTTCTTCATCTTCTTGAACTACTTCTTAGCAGAATTATGGGCCTGCTTATCGTGCATCTTCAATGTTTCATCGCGCACCTTCTGCACCTTATTTTTCTTCTTGCCTGTTACTGCCTTTGAAATTGGTGTATTGATCTTTTGTGAATTGGTAGGACTGGTATTTTGCTCATCACAAGCCTCGTAATTGACTAGTGAATCAGCTTCGTTCCCTTTCTCATCCTCAACCTGATCTGCCCAGCTTTTGGATACATACTCGTCTTCATCTTCTTCGTATTTCTTGTCTGAATCATAAGCATATTCTCCTTCTTCATAAGTGTATTGAGTTCCCTGATCGACCAGCTAGGTCGTTAGATGGTATTTCATGATTGGAGATATGTTTTTATTTTCATTCTTCTTCTCTTCTTCTTCTTCCTCTTCCTCTTCTTTTTCTTTCTAAACGTCCAAAAAGCGCCGAAATGCTGGCGAATTGTTTTCAGAAAAACTCTGCCCCATTTCTTCCCAAATTCTGCCCAATTTTTGCCCAATTTCTGCCCCGTTTCTCCCCAACAGTAGGTCGATCACCAGTTGCATTCAATGCAATAGTAGCCTCCAACTTTGAACATACAGTAGCTGCTTCAATTCCAGATTTCTCATGTCCTAATACATTTGTTGCATGTCCTAACTCACTTTCATGTAACTAGGAAAAAGACAAGAAAGGACAACTCATTCCAGGTATTAAATCATTGAAAATTTAATAATTTTTGTAAGATCTACTGTCTTAGTTTGGTACTTCATGTGCGCATACTGTTGTATTCCTCTAGTGTACAAAATCCTTCTCTACTCCGTTAAAAGCTATTGTATTCCTCTCTCTCTCTCTATACAGTTCAATAGCTTATGCCTTAACAGTTGAGCTATGAAATCTTGGTTCTGTTACATCAAACATCAAGTATGATGCAGTGCCATTTTGTAAGAGAAATCTTTTATGTTCATTCAGGTCTATTTTCCATCAGCAAGGCCACGGTTTAAACTTGGTAGAAATGAATTATCAATTTTAGTTTACTGTTATCACTTTTAGCAAACTCGCGCTGTGGAAGATTGTGTCTGGATATATTTGATTATGGTACTTTGTTGAGTGATTTTGTAGATCCCAAGTGACCTTGGTAGATTTCTGTGTGGCGTTGCTTATTTAGCCAAGTTCTTGTGTAGAGACATAATTGTGTGATGAAGTCTCTTGTCATTACCCTTTGTGATTCTATCTTCAATAGCCTTCTTAAGCGACAACGCCTTTGGAGAATATTGAGACTGAGAAGCATGAGTGCAGTATACCTATCAATTAGGAGACTAAGTACACAAATCTGAAGAGCCTAAAATGTGGATGTTCATCTCCATGAGAATCTTTTCTGCTACAGACAAGAAATTTCATCTATGTTAAAATTGTCTACTTTCCTTGACTGAAGCTGTCAATGAAGCAAGAATAAGCAAGACATTTGAGCAAATACCAATATATACACAGAGTAACCTCTACGATCTAAACATTGACAAGTATCAAGACCCAGCTAATGAACAAAAGTGAATTATGCTAATTGAGATATCCACGAAAAGAAGCAACCTTCTTAAAAACAAATAGTACATACTTAATATTAAAGTAAAACTAGTTTACTCTTGGATCAGATTGGGATTTAAGACACCAGAGAACTGTACTCATGCTTCTAAGTTGCTAAGAGCATTATGCCTCTATGTCTATGAATATTGAGACTTAAGGAAACTAGGAGTTAAACAATGAAACGAGATAGTCGGTGGTTGTATTATGCCTCTATGTCTGAGGGCTGTCTTGCCCTTTGTCTTGCTATATAGTTTTGCTACTTCCCTAGTTAGATGTATCTCCTTATATTTTCTGATTTGGATATATAGTTTTGTTACTTCCCTAGTTTTGTTTTCTGATCAGAGAAGTGTTATATAGTTTTGTTACTTCCCTAGTTTTGTTTTTTGATCAGAGAAGTGCTATATATTTTTGTTACTTCCCTAGTTAGATGTATATCCTTATGTTTTTTGATTTGGATATGCACCACGGCAAGGATAATGATGTTTTGAGCAGGTTGAAAATATTGGGATGGTCGTATATACAAAGGAAACTCTGCCGAAAAATTTAAGAATTTAGAGCGTTCGAAATTTTTGGAGTTATCAAATTGGTCATTCAATTACTTTGTGATTCAATTATCTTTTAAAAAAATTATTTAATTATTTCTGGTTGTCTTTTGTAGGTGCAGCTTGCGGAAGAAAGCAGTGACGAAGACCTTACTTGAGTGTTGTTGATCGTTGTTAAACTTTCTATCATCATGTTCAAAGATATTTTAGTTTAGAACTTTTTGTATGCAAACTCATCTATTTTGACTTTTGAATTGTTGATCAAACAATGTATTCACATTTTGTTTTTGTATGAGTAATGCTATTTGAATATTTTAATTTTATTTTGTGGTTTATATAAGTTATGAGTTAAAAATTTCATTGCATTAGGAAAATATTTCTCATTTTGCTTCCATAAATATCAGAAATTCAATTGTGAATTGTTGCAATAGAGCATATAACCGTTCCAGTAGACCAAGAAAATAATAATAGCATTCCCTAATAACCGTTGCAATATGTAACAATATCCATTGCTGTAGGGTACTGATAATTGTTCCAATATCACAAAACCGTTGCAATATATCATCAAAACCGTTGCAATAGACTTAAAAAACGCTGGAATAATTATACCACAATGGTTTATAACCATCCCAATAGAAAATACAACCGTTCCCATAAATAAAACAATGGTGACAGTACCATAATCGTTACAATACCCCCTATATGGAGATAGTTTTGAAACCGTTACAAATAACCGTTCCAATAGACCTATTGTAACACTGAATCGCGGAACGCCTCCAAATCTGCTCTGATAGCCCTATAGGGACGGCTAGTGTATCTATTGCCACGGTTTTGGAAGGGTTGCCATAGACCTAATTTCTAGTAGTATGTTTTCCTTATTCTTGCTAGTGGTTGGATTTTGACTCCTTTATAGTTCTCTTGATATTCTGTTTTTACCTGTTATTCCCCGAAGCATGTTTCCCCCTCCCATCCTTACTTGCTTATACCTGCTTTACTTTCCGCTGTATATTATATAACTGCACAGGTTTACTTGATAGTTTGGTCCTAGCCTCGTCACTACTTCGCCGAGGTTAGGCTAGGCACTTACCAGCACATGGGGTCGGTTGTGCTGATACTACACTCTGTGCTCTTTTGCACAGATCCAGGTCCCGGACAGCAGTAGTAGCTCGGAAGCCAACCTTCAGTCCACCGAGACTCCGAGGTAGCCTTGCACGCGTCCGCAGGCCCGGCGTCTCCTCTATCTTATATTTCATTATGTTATCTCATGTTTTCGAGACAACAGTGTTATACTTCTTTCAAACGGTTGTATTAGTACTCTTAGTAGTCCGTGGATGATGTGACACCAGTTCTTGGGTAGAGGCACATGTTGAATTCCGCATTATTGTTCAGCTTATTTAATTTAAGTCTTCCGCTTTAATTTCACATTCTGCTGTCTAATAAATATTTAATGCTGGTTGTTATGATTGATAAAAGGATATAAAATAAAGTAGGTAGGAGTTTATGATTTGTGGCTTGCCTAGCTTCTACGAGTAGGCGCCATCACGACCCCCGAGGGTGGGAAAATCCGGGTCGTGATGAGTTATTTTAATTAGGATATAAGAGGGGAATGGGTAAATGGGCTTGGATTTAGGAAATTAGTTTGGACCATGAAGACCAAATAATACAATGTATCTATAAAGTGTAAAAATCACTCTTAATAAACTAATATAAAACTAAATACTAAAGGTGAAACTAATTTTGTATTTTCAAATGTTATAATAAAGTAAAAAGTAGGAAGAATAGGCTAAAGCCACGGTGAAATTAAATATAAATATAAATATACTAATTGACTTTAAACTAAAGATGAAAAATATTTTTGTAATTTTTATTTTTGTGATAAAATAAGTAAAAGAGTCAAAACTATTTAAAATAGCGATGCTAAACCTAAACTAAATATTTAAACGCTAAAATGCGTAAAATCTCGTGGAGTGTCAAAAATTACATGTCTACACTAACCAATGCAGGAACAGAATCAAAGCAGAAAAAGACTCTAAAAATTATAATAGTCCATCCTATTTTTATTGTGATAAAAGGGGTCATACCTCAAATCGTTGCAGGTTCAAGGATAACAGTAGATGGGTCTGGCGACCCAAATCTTCAAATCAATCTAATACTCAGTGTTCTAACCATTCAAGACCCAAGCAAGCTTGGGTACCTAAAAACAAGAAATGCAGGAACACCATAAGAAGAATCAAAAAGGAAAATCGTATCTCGACAGCGCGTGTTCCAGACATATGACAGGTGACAAACAATTGTTCAAGACAGTCACCGAACTAGATGGAGGAACGGTTACTTTTGGAGACAAATCCAAAGGAAATGTAATTGGTGTTGGAAAAGTTCATCTGAGCTCAACATGTGATGTAGATGAAGTTTACCTAGTTGATGAACTCGGCTACAATCTTCTAAGCATTAGTCAACTATGTGACAATGACTATGAGGTTCGTTTTAAGAAGCATGGTTGGTTTATAGAAGATGAATCAGGTAAAGTCATTATTTCTGGTAATAGAGACGGAAATATCTATACTATTAGCAACTTAGATAATCTTGGGGATCAAATTTGTCTTGCTTCCATAATTGATGATCCCTGGGTTTGGCATAGAAAACTTGATCATGCCAGCATGCATACTATTCAAAAGCTTTCTAAACATGATCTCGTTATTGGACTTCCAAAACTAGATTTTTCAAAGGATCATATATGTGATGCATGTCAACTAGGAAAACAAATTCGCTCATCTTTCAAAATCAAGAACTTTGTTTCCACCTCCAAACCTCTCCAACTATTGCATATGGATTTATTTGGCCCAACTAGAACTGCTAGCATAGGTGGTAGGAAATATGATTTTTTCATTGTGGATGATTTCTCTAGATTTACCCAGTTTATGTTTTTAAGTCATAAAGATGATGTTCTAAAGAATTTTGAAGTTTTCTGTAAGAAGGTTCAACGAGAAAAGGGATACTACATCTCTTCTATCAGAAGTGATCATGGAGGAGAATTGAAAGCAGAGCCTTTGAAAACTTCTGCAACGATCAAGAAATCTCTCACAACTTCTCTTCACCAAAATCTCCGCAACAAAATAGAGTGGTAGAATGTAAAAAAAATAGAACTTAACAGGACATGGCAAGAACCATGATTGTGGAAAACTCTCTACCTCACCATTTCTGGGCAGAAGTGGTAACCACAGCATGTCATATCATCAATAGGTGTCTGATTCGTCCAATCCTCAAAAAGACCCCGTATGAACTGTGGAATGGTAAGAAATCAAATATTAGTTATTTTCACCCGTTTGGATGCAAATGCTTTATTCAATACAATGGAAAGGACAATTTGGGTAAGTTCGATCCTAAAAGTGATGAGGGTATATTTTATGGTTACTCTCCTTCAAGTAGAGCATATAGAGTTTATAATAAAAGAACGCTATGGATTAAAGAATCAATTCATGTTGTTTTTTTTGATACTAACCCTCGTCCAAGGAATGAAAAACTTCCTGAAGATGAGGAAATTCCTTTTGTCCTTAAATCTATCATTGTAGGAAAGGATCATCAAAGTTAGTCAGCTGACCAACAAACTCAACCATCTGAAGAGTCTGCAGAAATTCACGAACCATCTCAAGCAGTTCAGTCGACTAATGTAGAAAAAGAACCTTCCTCAAACACTCCAAATGAATGGAAAAGCGAACCTAGCTACCCTCACAAATTCATTATAGGAGATCCACAGGAAGGAATCACTACAAGAAGATCTCAAAAGAACAAATCTCACGTGGCTCTTATTTCTGAACTTGAGCCAAAAAAGTGGATGAAGCTCTGAAATACCCTCACAAGAAATTGGAAGAAATGAAGTATGGGAATTAGTTCCAAGACCAGAAAACCCCTCTATCATTGGAACTAAATGGGTATTCAGAAACAAATTGAATGAATCTGGTCAAGTGGTTCGAAATAAAGCAAGATTAGTTGCTCAAGGATACTCTCAGCAAGAAGGAAACGACTATGATGAAACCTTTGCTCCTATAGCAAGACTCAAATCCATACGAATATTACTTGTTTTCGCTGCTCACAAAGGATTCAAGCTATTTCAAATGGATTTTAAAAGTGCGTTCCTAAATGGCAATATATCTCCAAAGAAGTATATGTGAAGCAACCACCAGAATTCGCAAACAAGCTCCACGTGCCTGGTATGAAATCTTAAGTTCTTTTCTTCTAAATCAAGGGTTCAAAGAGGTAACATCGATACAACCTTTTTCACTAAGCATTCTAGTTCAGGTAATCTTATTACTCAACTTTACTCACAACAATCGGAATTTGACCTCCTGTGCCTGTGACATTATTTTTGGTAGTCCTAACTCTGTTCTATGTGAAGAATTTGCTATTTCCATGAAAGGAAAATTCGAGATGAGCATGATGGGAGAGCTGACATTCTTTCTCGGACTTCAAATCAAACAGCCTCCTAAAGGGATTTTCATTAACCAAACCAAGTACACTAAGGAACTTATCAAAAAGTTTGGCATGGAAAATGCTAAGTCAATCGGCACCCTAATGAGTCCAACAACAATGCTCGATGAAGACAACAATGGAAAAAAGGTTGATGAAACCATGTATAGAGATATGATTGGATCCTTATTGTATCTCACTACCAGTCGGCCAGATATTATGTTCAGTGTATGCAAGTGTGCAAGATTTCAGTCGGCTCCTAAGGAATCCCATTTCACTGCTGTAAAACTAATTATTAGATATCTAATTGGTACTTCTGAGCTAGGATTATGGTATGATCGTTCTAACAATTTTGCTTTAAGAGGCTTTTCAAATGCAGATTTTGCAGGTAATAAGATTGATAGAAAAAGCACAAGTGGCACGTGTCAACTCTTGGGAAATTCATTAGTATCTTGGCATAGAAAGAAACAAGATTGTGTTGCCCTATCAACGACTGAAGCAGAATATTTAGCCGTTGGCAGCTGTCGTACTCAAGTTCTATGGATTATGCATCAACTTCTCGATTATGATTTATCTCTTACCCCTACTCCTATATTTTGTGATAATACTAGTGCTATTTGTTTATCAAAAAATTATGTTCATCACTCTAGAGCAAAGCATATAGAAATCACGCATCATTTTATCCGTGATCATGTCGCTAAAGGTGATATTGTTTTAGAATTTATTAGTATTGATTCTCAACTTGCTGATATTTTTACAAAACCTCTTTTGGAAGAAAGATTTTGTTTTCTCCGAAAAAAGAATGGCATTGTGCCAAATTTGTAAAACAAATCTATTAGCGTGTTCTAAAATATTTTAT